TTTTTTTTTTTCTTTTTTTTTTGTGGCTGCCACCACCAGCCATTTTGGTCTGGGGGCACTGTTCGACCGAAATCTGCAGATTGGCTCATCTCGTTTCCATTCTCAAGTTTGCCTGGGCAATGTACTGGCAGTTTCAATCCAAGAATCTACAATTCAGGGCTGCACACACACAATGTCATGCACCATGCTATGCTACAACTAGCAGCCAGCTTCAGTTTCCAACTTTCCACTGTCGGGACGTCGGGATATTAGCCTGTGACCTCTTCTTCCGACGTGTTCTTTGTTTTCTATTGTTCTGTGCTGAGCTGAGGTGGTAACGAGTTTCACACCTCGAGGAAAGATCACTCGCAGACTTTTCAGACTCATAGTTCCTGGATTTCTCGAGCAGAGAAATCCACGGTTAGTCTACTCGCAGACTTTTCAGACTTGCAGTTTCTGGATTTCATGACCTGGGGGTAGGGTCAGTTTGCTCGCAGACTTTTCAGACTTGTAGTTTCTGGATTTCTCGTACGCAGAGCCGATAGTCCGAACTGAAAGTCGCCCCAAATACAGCTACAAGGAGCAGGATTTTTATTTTTATTTTTATTTTTTTTTCAGAAAAGGGGCCGGACACTCCACATAAAGACCGGATCCGGGAGCTTTACCCAGTGTTATGCTTTTAACGGGACCCCCTGGGACCCGAGCATGAAAAACCATCCCTTCCTGTACCTCACCCCTCTATGCTTAAACCCTAAACCCTTATTACTCTTATCTTATCCTCCTGTTTCCTACTACGATTTAAATAGCTACCTTGATTTGCTTATGAACTAATGTACGCGCATCAGACCAGTTCCTATTCCCCTGGCAAGTCAAATGGAATATCAGTACCAGTGATTAAACCACAAGTACTTACGAAGCACTTTTCTCTGGGGCTGGAGTCGTCCTGCATGCCAAAACAAAATGAGCCAGCACCGCCAGCCACTTCGCTCCATAGGCCGAGCCCCAAAAGTTGCAGCAGCTTGCAAAGCTGCAACTCTTGAAAAAATAGCTGGGAAACGCACAGTTGGTTTAAACCGCCAGTACACCGCCCCACCCTTGCGGAAAGTTGTTCGTCACCTAGACCAAAAAATTCACGCGTTGGGCCTCCTGGACCGCAATGGCTGGTGGCAACAACCAAAACAGAAAAGAAGTGATCCGCTGGCGGTTCAAAAAGGCTTGGGCTGCAGTGCAGTGCCTCCAGGCCCCGGTGTGCTGGTGGTTTAAGGAATACAACGTTCACACTCCTTTTCTATGCCTGGCAATCCCTGTGTTAAACGATGTGCAATCAGACTCGACTTCAGACTTGCTCACAACGTGCACACTTGAGAACCGATGGCAAAACCGAACTCCAACTCAGAAACAACAATGAACTTGTATTAAACTCAGTCTGAATCAACTGTACCACTTGCGGCTATGGCCGCCGAACACTGTCTCTACCACCAGCCTCACTCTACCTCACTCTTGAATGCACACACGCACGAGGATCACCTGAATGTCCACGCTGCACAGTCACACCCACTGTCTATACTCTGCCTACACCAACAGCTGGGCGGCTATGGCCGCCGTCTTCTTCCTCCTAGCTATGGCCGCCGGTGTCTCTCTCACTGGTTCGCTATGGCCGCTATCTTCTTCACAGCCCACTTCCTCTCCGGGGACCTGCAGTCCACGCACAAGATACCAAGGCAGCTCTTCTGCATGGCACACAGGCGAAAGAATGAATCGCTGGACGCTGCCTCTTTATTTATACCTCTTCGGAGGTACCCGGGCCTGCCTCAAAATGTGTGGGTCTGGGCCAAAACATGTGGCCCAGGGAAGCTTCCAGACGTTTAGCCTTCTGGCCAAAACGTGTGGAACCCACAGCATGGTCCAGAACCTTCCCCACGTGCCGTCCCTACCCCTGGTACTTGCTGACTGGACTGGCCTACAGGGACCTACAACCTTCTAGAGCCTACAGACTTACAGACAGACTCTAGGCCTCAGTAGACTCAGATAGAGACTTCTAGAACAGACCTTCCTAGGCCTAACGGTAACAGACCTAACTCCTAATCTACAGGCCTGGGGATCGAGTCTCACACAGATCACTGGGCCTATGTACAGGGTACAGGGTAGGTCTAGGGATCGAATCTCACCCAGCACACAGCGTCAATGTACAGGGTTTGGGCACAGGTCTAGGGATCAAATCTCTGTGTCTGCAAATGTTGGGTTAACTGGGTGAAACCGTTTCAGATGCAGCGCTGAGGAGAAATCGGTGGAGTGAGTGCCGGCGATTAAGGGATAGGTCTTTTCGCTCCTCTTCTTTCTTTTCTTTTCTCTTCTTTCCTTTTCTGGCTTTCCGCTCCTTCCCTATCCCTGCTGATTTTTTCACTAAACTATTACAGAGTCCAAACTTCAAAGCAGCCGTTTGTCAGTTTGCTAACAGTTGAGCAGGCTTTTGAAAAGCAGCAAGAAGAACCCACCCACTGACGTTTGGGCACAGTGTGAGCGTGCCCTCAGAGGGCAACGTCCTTGAGATCTGATTATGGAACCGACCCGGCCCAGGTACTACAGACTTAGTTGTTTTCGGATCTCAGTAGACGCACCTTAACCAATCATTGGAACTGAACAGCAAGTCCTTGAAAACAAATGTGTTTTTGAAGGATTTCCTGATTTTCTGCTTCACCATTCCATTCCGTGTGTATTAAAAAAATCATGTCAAGGAAGAACCTTTAAAGTTTAAACCCACCAGCAGAGGCTTAGGGTGCCGGTTCGAGGTCGTGCGTGCAAGGCGTGGCCTGATACCCTAAATGCACGTTGTCAGTCACTACCAGCTCAGTTGGAACGCCCATGAACTATTGAAATAAACACCAGTGTACCTGAGCTCGAATGCAGCTCGAATCCAGATGGATTTACGTGAATGAAGGGTCTTGTCAGAACACTCCTTCAAAACTGATTTCCTGGGGTTTTGGTGTCATTCCATGTGTCCTTGATACGGAATCCTTGTTTGAAAAATAATGTGAAAACAGTTCAAGTGAAAAATAATGTGTTGTCCTTCGGGACATCCGTTAAAATTGGAACGATACAGAGAATGAAGATAAGCAAATGGCCCCTGGGTGCTCAAGGATGACACTCGTGCACAAATGGAGAAAAAAAACGTGTTCGACGAGGATGCAGTCATTTTGTCCAGATTCTTAACGCGAGGTTATTTGAAAATTAAAGGACGAAAGAGGGTGTCCTCCGAGAGAGGTTATTTGAAAATTAAAGGGATGAACGAGGGTGTCCTTCGAAATTGATTCGTGGTGGCGTCCTATTGGTTGAAAACTTGAAAGCTGAAGTACAAGCTTTTTTTTTTCCCCATGTAAATGACAACTTTCTTAAACCACCCACACCTTTCGCAGCTATTTTTTCAGAGGCGCGCGGGGTAACGCCCTGGTAACGCGCTGGCCTGAACCGGAATGACGGCCGCCGATTGGCGGCCTGTCTTGATATATGGGCCGGTGCGCAGTGCCCCCAGCGGACACATGACCACTACAACCCTTGGATGTGTTATAAAAACTGGATCCATACTGGTCGTGATATCCAGCCCACCTCCAGGGCTGTAGCGTCCCAACTGAGCTAGGCCCATTGGTCGATGACGGCCCTGTTGATCGACGCATTATTAGTATTATTACACAATTTGTGTGCGATAACAAGGGGTGTCGGGAAAAGAATTCTCTGTGTGAATATCGGAGTGATCGGCTAGGAATTCTGCTCTTCACGAAAAGGGAAAATAAATTGAGCGCATTTTTCCACAGAAGCCAGCACGATACGTCATACTAACGTACGTATCTTGACAGCTCCTGTAGGAAGATGCACTCTTTTTTTTTTTTTTTTGCATTCTGTGAGTAGTGTGATGAGCCCCTAAGGCAAGTTACCGGGAGTGGTGTCTCGGTTCCTGATGATATTCCGGGCATTTCGACTAGATCGGTCTCTGATTGCGCCATCCATCACATCCAGGGAGGAAGGAGATAAGGTCAAGTCACCTTCTCAGGAGTGCTTTCATTGTCCCTAATCATATTCAGCGCAGATGAACACAAAGCCATTCCGACTGAATCTGGCTGCGATGGCCACCACGTGCATCCATGGAAGTCTTACAAAGTGTGGTCTCCTACCCTCTCCTAGGTGCACTGCTGATCAATGTGATGATCCTTGTCCAGATACGCATCCCCTCCGCAAGATGCAGAGGGACATGCCAGTAAAGTTGCCCGACCGGAGAATGAGGATGAAGCTGCGAAAGACATGGCTACGACTCAGAGGAGGACAGAAAACGGTCCTCGACGAAACTCACCACAACGAACAAAAAGATACCAAGCATGAAAGGGAAACCAAAACAAAGAACAAAGGATGGAAACAAGCACTCACCGCTGCTGCTTCTGAAACACCACGATGAATCTCAGCATCAGCCCTCCTGACCTCCTTGTTATTCTCCTTTTTCCCTCTTGACCTTTCTCTTTCCGTGGAGACACTCTTAACTTTTCCCTCCAAAGACTTAACCGAGTCTTGCAGCGCAGCAGCCACTCCCTGTATAAATGTGGAGAACAGAGCGATAAGAGGCACGCACAGTGAAGTCACAAAGACTATGAAAGACTGAAGTTCCACAAGGAAACAAGCCGACATCAGTGCTGAAAACTGCTAGAGTAAGCAGTGCATATTAGAGTGACTCCACTGCAGTATTCCGTTTGAGCTTGCTATGAGCCACAATGTACCATTGACACTAAGGCTGCATTAAAATAAACATGTGAACTGAAAACCCGTGGAGTGAGTGGGCATTCGGCAGCCTGCATCACAGATAGAAACATGAATCTGCACATCCACTCAAGCGTATGAGCTTATGAACTCCCTTCTCACCAACGAATTTTTACCTCAAGTAAAGCGATCCTTTACCCAAAATGAAATGGAGTCCCAAACACCTANAGCGTATGAGCTTATGAACTCCCTTCTCACCAACGAATTTTTACCTCAAGTAAAGCGATCCTTTACCCAAAATGAAATGGAGTCCCAAACACCTACGGCGACAATGGTTAGAATCCACTCCAGCGTATGAGCTTATGAACTCCCTTCTCACCAACGAAT